AGCTCCTCTTTCTTACTAATAGCCAACGAGCAAACTTCACTAACCTCAAATGATTGTTACAGGAGATGTACAAAAACCAGAACGCTACTAAAGGAAGAAGTGAGTGCTACAGTTACTTCATCGACAACTTCAGAACCGAGCAATCGTCTTGTAGTTGAAAAATCACCAACGGCAACAAATTTCACGTTTCTATTTGCCAATTAATTTGATTTTACCGCATTTACACAAAGTCACTTTTAGCGCCAAAATTAAATTTCAGTTACCGCTAATGTAGCAGCTGCATATTAGTGTCCTCAATCGCATTCACTGCATCGATATAGCTGCACAGTGTTCTTCAAAAGTTTCCTTTTCTTATATCGCTCACTTCAGACAACATTTTATAGCTTAAAATCGAAAATTTTCTTTTTCTGTGGAACTTCGCAGCTTTTCTTTAAAAGAAAAAAAGTTTTTGCCATTTTTTTTTTAAAGCAATGATTGTCTGACATTTTTATATGTTTACATTTTTTGCTTTTTTTTTTTTCTCTGCTAATGGTTACCATCCATTACGTGGTGACGTTAATCAACAATTAATCCATCTGGACTTGGGACTTATAAGTATCACTGTTGATAGTGAGTAAGTGAATGAAAAGAATGCGAATTAATTTTTGTTTGTATTCACTAGGCTAACATTTTCCACCTATTTCCACCTACCTACATTCTCCTTTGTCATGCATCTTTTTTTTGTGCTTTTTACTTTATTTTTATATACATATATATGTATATCCAATAATCTATTTTTTTTTATTAGCAAATGTCAGTATGGTTGGGAAATGAACGAGGAACAGTTTAAGGAGTCGAAATGTTAGTCGATAAACCAAAATGATAGTTGCCAAACGCTTTAAACTGTTTTGTTACAATAGAATGGCAGTTATATTGACTTAAATTCAGGCCAAAATGAGCCATTTGTTCTTCAACTTTTTTTTGGTTTTAATCATTGAATCCAAATGCTACGTAAGAAGCTAATTTTAAAAAATTATTGAAATTCAATGAATTTGCTAATTTTTTTTTTTTAGTAGGACCCTTGAAACGCCCTGTATCTTTTTTATGTAGTATAGAGCAGATAAGTTTCCTTGTTGTAATTTTCTTTCCTGTCTTTAGGAAGATTATAAGGGAAAAAAAACAGCGGAAATGGGAAAAAGGTGGGGGTAATCTATTGAAAATTGTATACGGATTAAAGTTTATTTCAAGCTGCTTACTTTCAGAATTTTATCGATGATTAGCGTCGCTTCTATGGCAGCATAAGCTCAATTCTTTTTTATCTTTCTCTTTCTTTTTTTTTTTTTTTTCTTGTTTTGTTCAGCTCACCCAATGAGCTGCCAGAAGAAAATCGGTTTCAGTGATCTATTTGATGTGTTGCTGTGTTCAAGTGTGTAAAAATGTGTTTGCGTGTAGAGGATGGATCTATATGGTATATTGTGGGTGTATGCAATTGTATTTATATTATATATATATATATATATATTTATTTATTTATTTATGATTATCCATATGTTTGAAAACTATCGTCATTAAGTTTTTTTTTTTCTTTTGATTGTTCAGAAAAATAAGGAATAATACTGCTTTTTTGGATTTAAATTTTATGCTTAAAGGAAATGTTTAGAAATTATTGCTGTTAAAGGATACCCTTCCGTTGTTTTTGATTCTCAAAACAATCAAAGGACAGATTGAGAACGGTAGCGGCAGTAATACAGATTGGTTTAGTCACAGTTTACTATTGACAAAAACAAATTTTCTAGTGCTTTTTCCCGTTGTTCATCTTATTATTATTATTTTTTTTTTCTTCTCACTCTTTTTATACTGTTCTTTTGTATTTTTATTTATTTATTTTTTTTCATTTACTATCCTTATAAGTGGTTTTATGAGAAAATGACACCAAAGCAATAATAACCTATTGGTCGATAACGGGCGGCGTTAAGTCAATGCTTCTGATGAATAGCTGTAGTTATGTTTTATGGTTGATGTTTATATTAGAGGATACGGTAGATGGTTGACATCTATGAAAGATATTATGTTGTTGTTGTTTTGATGATGATGATGATGATGATAGGTTACTAAAAAATTTAATTTCTTCTACTCATCATCATTATCATCCAGTTGGCATTAATTAATTTAAGTTGATTTTTGTTCAAAAAGTTTATAGGTTCAGAGGGCAGAAATTTGATGGCAGCAAAAGTAGCAGCAGCAGCTGTGTGTTTGTGTGAAATGAAGTGCAAATTTTTAATGGTCATTCAATTAGTGATCTGAAAAAAAAGAAAAGGAAAAAAGACAGAAAACAAAAGTCACAAATTATTTTTGAAGAGTTAAAAATTTTTTTTTTGAAAGAAAATAAAAATTTTAAAAAAAATATTTATTCAATTTATAAGAGAATCAATTGGGAAGGAAAGGTTGTTGTTGTTGTTTGTTGTTTTTGGTAGTTTTATAAACTATACAAATTGTTGTACATTTGAGGTATTCTCAAAACGATGACTGTTTATTGGATTTTGAAAGCTATAATTTTTGTATTTGTAAAACCGGGGGGGGGGGG